TGTTCAAACCAAACAATAATGTCAAAGTAAAAAATAAATTAAATTCCAACAATATGATGCCAGCATACGGGTTACACTGTCAACCCTGTTTATAATGCATTGCTCCATAAGCCTAGGTTTATATCAGTGTGGGTGGCGCAGCTGTGGGATCCACACAAAAATCTGCAACCTCAACCACCCACACAGAGAAATGCGTGACCCGCGGGCAGGTGCCATTAATTGCAACCGTACTTGTTAACTTGGTTCCCATGAAAGCTGTGATTTTCAAAATAGTGTAGGGACTTCTTTCCTGTGTGTCCCGGGGCACGGCTGCCATTACAAAGCGCAGCCCACATGGCCACACAGGTGTGAACTGGCACTACATACAGCTTAAAGGCATCTGTAATTGAAGTGATTGGTGTTTTTCACACGTCGCCTTGAAGCTGCATTAGAGAATTTGGTGCCTCTCCCCGATGTACAATTTCTGTTTTTTAATTGAGACATATCCCCTGTACCAGTGCCCCATGCCCTTTCTTGGACAATTCCTTGCTTGTTATCATTAACAATAGCCACAATTGATTCTCCCCTAGACTTCATTGGGCTTTATATTTAAGTTTACAATTTGCAGACTTTATGTTGGGATGAACTCCAAGGAGGAGAAGATGGATCTACAAAAGGAAAGGGCTATGGTGTCCAAGGAGGAGGGGGCTGGGCTAGGGAACTGGCACATTGCAAGTCAATAAGAAATCGTTTGTGGAAAGGAAAGCGCAGCAATGAAGAATGTTAAATACCTGATTTTTCTGTGCTTTTACTACAGCTATTTATGTTGGTGACAGGACCTCTTTAGGGAACAACTGTGATGCCTGATCTTTACAAATAATACAAACACTCACCTCTTACAATAAGTTTTTCAGTTTTTTTCTCAATGGGTGTCTCCAGAGAGGGGTGTCCTACCCGACAGATGTATTGTGCCCCCTGGTGGATGCTCAGTGTGGGGATGATTGTCAGACTGGCTGTACAGCTGTATGTGTTACCATCTCCTTTCCTGGGTGTTATTATACTGGAAACCTTTGTATCATTCTCCTCACACAACTCCTCATTTTCGCTTTTTCTCAACCAGGTCACAGTGATGGTGTCGGGGAAGTACTCGGAGATATGACACTGAAGAGTGACTGGGGTGTCATGGAGTATGTTGGGTGTCTGGATCTCTTCCACCACTGGGGTCCATGGGTATTCTACAAAAAAAAAAAAGTGTATCATCTTTTGGGTTCATATTTCATCTGCCACATCTTCAAGAATCAGTGTATACAAACCTTGACTTCATAGGGAAGGTGACTAGCAGCAACTATCTGGTTTCAGTGGACCTCCTAACCCTGACCTAGACAAACTCTTTACACGTGGTCTGCTATGCTTTCTGCTTCTGAAATCTGCTTTCAGCTTTTGTCTGTATAAAGGTACGTGTGAACACATAGATGTAAGTGCCCATAAATGCAACTATGATTCCAATGAATGTTAAAGCAGTTGTGAACCCTAACTTGGTGACATTTGGTTTTCCTGAGACACTGGGCATCATAAACGACTACTTTTTTTTAAAAAAATAGTTTTCACCTTTTTTCATCCTCTTTGCATCACCATGCTGCTGATCTCCAGCAACCTCTTCACATCACTTTCTGTTTGCTCCAGGGTAGGCGGAAATGTCAGCATAGTTGCTTGTGATCCCCACAAGGGTAGCATGTGACAGGGTGACAACACAGGAGCACAACGGGGAGATTTCTGTCACTAACATTAACAGAGCTGTTATTCATTTATATGATGAAAATAAAAGGTCTGCCTTCCTATACGCTATGGATACTGGAAAAGAGAGATCTCCCTGTCATAGTGTCTAATTCTGTGCAGACAGGCGCTTTGAGTGTTTCCACCCACCTTTATGTGTTCCTGTTACATTCTCTATGATAAAAAAAAACAGCATGGCTGGTGAAAGTCCCTCATAATGAGCACAGCAGGTGTGCAGACTCGGGAACTCAGTGCAGCGATGGTGGGAACCCCTCCTAATGAGCCATCAGGTGTGTAGACCCAGAGACTAATCGCAGGAATTGTGGAAGCCCCTCATAAGGGTCACAGCAGGTGTGAAAATCTGGGAACTCAATGCAGGAATTGTAGTAGCCCTCATAGTGGGCCCAGGAGGTGTGCAGATTCAGCGGCTTGGTACAGGGATGGTGGTAACGGCTCATAATAAGTACAGCAGGTGTGCAGTTTTGGGAACCCAGCTCTGAAATGGTGGGAAGCCCTCACAGCAAGCTTTGCATGCCCAAGAAATCAGCACAGAGATCTGAACAATAGCATACCAATACCATTTACAGAGAGCTTAGTATAGATGGTAGCTGTTCAACTGCAGATCTACATTCCCTGGGATAAATAATCAAACACAATTCTTTCTGAGAATAGGAAAGTTCAGATATCCTTCATTAATACTTTTAGCCGTTGCGTCATCTCCCTCCATTATAATCATCCAGAAATAGATCCATGTGATTTACTATGACTAACAGTTTCTTAAAGTGTTATTAAACCCCGGACCCCGCATTCACTATATCTGGTCCCCCCGGACCCCGCATTCACTATATCTGGTCTCCCCGGACCCTGCATTCACTATATCTGGTCCCCCCGGACCCCGCATTCACTATATCTGGTCTCCCCGGACCCTGCATTCACTATATCTGGTCTCCCCGGACCCTGCATTCACTATATCTGGTCTCCCCGGACCCTGCATTCACTATATCCGGTCTCCCCGGACCCCGCATTCACTATATCCGGTCTCCCCGGACCCCTCATTCACTATATCCGGTCTCCCCGGACCCCGCATTCACTATATCCGGTCTCCCCGGACCCCGCATTCACTATATCCGGTCTCCCCGGACCCCGCATTCACTATATCCGGTCTCCCCGGACCCCGCATTCACTATATCCGGTCTCCCCGGACCCCGCATTCACTATATCCGGTCTCCCCGGACCCCGCATTCACTATATCCGGTCTCCCCGGACCCCGCATTCATTATATCCGGTCTCCCCGGACCCCGCATTCACTATATCCGGTCTCCCCGGACCCCGCATTCACTATATCCGGTCTCCCCGGACCCCGCATTCACTATATCCGGTCTCCCCGGACCCCGCATTCACTATATCCGGTCTCCCCGGACCCCGCATTCACTATATCTGCTTTCCCCGGACCCCGCATTCACTATATCTGCTTTCCCCAGACCCCGCATTCACTATATCCGGTCTCACCGGACCCCGCATTCACTATATCGGGTCTCCCCCCGGACCCAGCATTCACTATATCCGGTCTCCCCGGACCCCGCATTCACTATATCGCGTTTCCTCGGACCCCGCATTCACTATATCGGGTCTCCCCAGACCCCGCATTCACTATATCTGCTCTCCCCGGACCCCGCATTCACTATATCCGCTCTCCCCGGACCCTGCAATCACTATATCCGGTCTCCCCGGACCCTGAATTCACTATATCCGCTCTCCCCAGACCCTGCATTCACTATATCGGGTCTCCCCGGACCCTGCATTCACTATATCTGGTCTCCCCAGACCCTGCATTCACTATATCCGCTCTCTCTGGACCCTGCATTCACTATATCTGGTCTCCCTGGACCCTGCATTTACTATATCTGGCCTCACTCAGTTTAGTGTGTATTGCTAGAGAGCTTTTTTTTTTTTTTTTGGGGGGGGGGGGGGTGCATGTTATCAGCACAGGGCCAATCAGCACTGTCCAGACAGTGGGTCAGGGTTATGCAGCCTCATAGGACAGTCAGAGGAAAATGAAAATTCTTCCTACAAGCTTTAACCCGTATTCTGCTGGACACTGATAGAAATCACAAGACTGCTATATACTGCTGATGAGAAAAGGTATTTAGCAGTTTATATTTACTACAATATTTGTATTTCCATGTTCTGTGTACTGTGGGAGACCAGATATGGTGAATGCAGGGTCCAGGGGTTTAGTAACACTTTAAGGGGGTGTGGATATATATGTCAGCCATGTGTTTTTTTTTTTAACTGCAAAAAAACTTTTTTTTTAGAAATTTGTAATAAACTTACTGCATGGGTTTTATATAACTTGATGACATCATTTTGATTTTGGGTTAGTGTGCCCTATGTGCCTTAATGTTCCAATCACGCATATCTTTTGGATCTTTCTATGTAAGGATGACTCAGATTTGATCTGAATTGGTGGTTCCTCATTTCATAGTAGATTGCTTGCTGTTCAGTATTACTGTCTATTGACTATAAGAGGTCTATGAGCCACAAAGATGGGAAAGTGGTGTCAGCAGAGGGGCCCGAATGTGAAGGAGAAGTTAGCACACTCACAAACAGAGCACTAGAGACAGACCACAGCTGTTTAAAAGGCTTTAGGCACCATCCTGAGGAAATGGCCAGTGTAGTGCCACGAAACGCATTGCCGGTGTTTTATACTATTCTGCGAGCAATAAATATAGAATCAATGAAGAATCCATTTCTCAGATTCTCCTTCACATTCGGGAGCCTCTGCTGACACCACTTTCCCATCTTTTGGGGCTCATAAACCTCTTAATATGAACATACTGGAAAGTTTGGGACCGCGGAGCATAGAATCATCCGGATCACCGAACATCAAGAGTGACCTTACTCTGCACAGGGACAATCATATTCCCTGCAGGCTTTAACTCCAGGTTGTCTGATCCCCTATAATGGAGCTCAGCAACTTCACAGATGTGAGTACACCATTGCAATTTATCTTCTCATCGTATATTTTATCCAATATTTGTCAAACCATAAGGAACTCTCCCACGGCCTCTGTCTCTTTTTTTCCTCTCACCTTTGGAGGCACCCCAGTTTTTGACTATACAGAAAGCCCCCTATTTTACAGGAGCTGTGCTTTTCATATGGATTCTGGCTGACCGGTCTATATATTTGTTGGTGACACCTTCATGTAACTCACCTGAGTCTCTGATAGATAGATCCTTATACCCCGGTGTGTCCAGAGATTCATGTTCCCAGATCACTCGTACTCTGAATTCTGGATCCTTCAGGAGCTTCTCAGGAATTGTGACCTCACTGTAGACACTATAGTTCCCATCAGGATTATCTGTGTATGTCTCTGTTGATAATAAGGCTTCTTGTGGCTCCCCTACTCCATGTGTCCACCTAAGTGTGATATCTTTGGGGTAAAATTTCTCCAGAGTGACAAAATATTTCAACACTCCTGAAAAAATTAGACTTCTTGATACCGGCTGTATCAGCTGAGGCTTAGCTGAAATGATACGACAAACATTATGAGTAAAATATTTTTGACATGAAGAATGTAAGATACCTATACTCCGTAAAGCGAAGTCTTAATGTTCTTCATAGCCTTTGGAATATCACTATACTGTATATGTATATGAGAAAATTCTGTGAAATTCCTGGCCAACACCCCAAACCAAATCTTCAACAGGAATGGGAAGGCTACGCTCACTGGACACTTTTTTAGGTACACTTTGCTAGTGCCAAGAAAATCTTCCCCACACCACCACCAGCACCAGCCTGAACCATTGATATAAGGCAGGATGGATCTATGCTTTCATGTTTACACCAAATTCTGATCAGCAACCAGTCTGTCCATTCTTCTTCTGACATCAACAAGACATTTTCATCCACACAACTTCTGTTTACTGGATATTATTTTCTCTTTTTCGGACCATTCTCTGTAAACCCTAGAGATGGTTGTGCGTGAAAATCCCAGTAGATCAGCAGTTTTTGAAATACTCAGACCAGCCCATCTGGCACCAACAACCATGCCATGTTCAAAGTAACTTAAATCCTCTTTCTTCCCCATTCTGATGCTCGGTTTGAACTTCAGCAAGTCGTTTTTCACCTTTTCTAGATGCCTAAATGCATTGAGTTGCTGCCGTGTGATTGGCTGATTTGTGTTACCAAGAAATTGAACAGGTGTACCTAATAAAGTGGCCGGTGAGTGTATTCGCTGGGTTATGATACGATAAACTATTGGTAGATGATTACTTGAACTAAAGCCATAGTTCTATGACTGGAAATTGCAGATATCAGCTCAACTACTTTTTAAACATGATCACACCATTAATATACAACACTCTACAAAAGCCATGTATGTACAGTTGTGTCCAAAATTATTCAACCCCCACTGAAATTGAGTGTTTTGGCCAGTTTGACATTGCTTTTGATCATTCAGTCATCTTGCTTACATTTACATTAAAGAGGCACTTGTAGGTCAGACAAATATAACATAACAGTTATAATGAAATAACCACAAATGTCTTTTCTGTGCTCACAGCATTATCAGTTTTATTCAACCCCCAAGTGACATTCAATCTTAGTACTTAGTACAGCATCCTTTTACAGTTATAACAGCTTTTAAACGTGAAGCATAGCTTGACACAAGTGTCTTGCAGCGATCTACGGGTATCTTCGCCCATTCTTCATGGGCAAAGGCCTCCAGTTCAGTCACATTCTTAGGCTTGCGCACTGCAACTGCTTTCTTTAAGTCCCACCAGAGGGTTCTCAATCGGATTTAAGTCTGGTGACTGCGATGGCCACTCCAAAATGTTCCAGCCTTTCCTCTGCAACCATGCTCTAGTGGACTTGGAGGTATGCTTGGGATCATTGTCCTGTTGAAAGGTCCAACGTCTCCCAAGCCTCAGGTGTGTGACGGACTGCATCACGTTTCCATCCAATATCTCCTGGTACTGAAGAGAATTCATGGTACCTTGCACACGCTGAAGCTTCCCTGTACCTGCAGAAGCAAAACAGCCCCAAAGCATGATTGACCCTCCACCATGCTTCACAGTAGGCAAGGTGTTCTTTTCATCATAGGCCTTGTTCTTCCTCCTCCAAACATAGCGTTGATCCATGGGCCCAAACAGTTCTAATTTTGTTTCATCAGTCCACAGAACACTATCCCACAACTTTTGTGGTTTGTCCACATGGCTTTTGGCATACTGCAGTCGACTCTTCTTATTCTTTGGAGACAGCAAGGGGGTACGCCTGGGAGTTCTGGCACGGAGGCCTTCATTACGCAGTGTGCGTCTTATTGTCTGGGCTGAAACTTCTGTACCCACATCTGACAAATCTTTTCTCAGTTCCTCAGCAGTCACACGGGGACTTCTCTCCACTCTACGCTTCAGGTAGCGCACAGCAGTCGAAGTCAGCATCTTCTTTCTGCCACGACCAGGTAGCGTTTCAACAGTGCCCTTTGCCTTGAATTTGCGAATGATGCTTCCTAAGGTGTCTCTTGGTATGTTTAACATCTTTGCAATCTTCTTATAGCCATTGCCCTTCCTGTGAAGAGAAATCACCTCTTCTCTTGTCTTCCTGGACCATTCTCTTGCCTTCACCATGTTTGTAACCACACCAGTAAATGTCTAGAAGGAGCTGAGTATCACAGTCATTTTAAAGCTGCCTAATTGGTGCTTATTATGCTTGATTGCTGCTCGGTGACATCCACAGGTGTTTTCAATACCTGATGGAAAGCACCTGTATGAACCTCTGTTCTTCAGAGTGGTAGTCTTTAAGGGGTTGAATAATTGTGGCAATGAAGAAACCACATAAGAACCATTTACTACTGTATTACATAAACAATTGATGTCATTTTAGTTGCATTTGGGTAGTTACAACGTCCTTGTAGGATTTGATTCTGAATACAATTCCAAATGTACACTATAGTCCCTAAACCCCTTTACACATTGGGGGTTGAATAATTTTGGACACAACTGTATTAATAGACACTTCTCACCACAAATAGCTCTGACGGGAAATGTTTTCTCTTTCTTCTCTTTCCCACAGCTATATCTACAGATGAAGGTCACATCTTTGTGTTTGACCACACTGGGTCTGAACTTCAGTGAAGATATGTAGTTTGGTCCTTCTCTGCATGATATGACCCCATACTGTGTGTTCAGCAGTCTCTCCTCTTCCTCCGTATCTCCTATATGGGACTCTGGGATCTCGTTTACTTGTTCTCCTCTCTTCTCCAGCCAAGTCACACTCGTGTTCTCTGGGCAGTTGGTGGCTCTACAGTATAGAGATGTTTCTTCTCCAGCAATCAGCTTGGCAGGACCTTCAATGTCCATTATTGTGAAAACTCTCACATCTACAAATTCATTGATTAAGAATTTGCTCAATTATTTGTTCCATTAAATTAAAATTACAGCTGTTATGTTTTCAAACTATACATGCCAAATTTACACATAACTTAGGCCCCTTTCACACTGGGAGACCTGCCTATTTTTCAACCCATCAGACCATCCATATTTCTCTATGGAGCGGCGGATGTCAGCGGACATGTGGGCCAACTTATATTGGCCCAAGCTGAACAGACGTGACTTTGCAATAAGAACCATACCTGGCATTCAGATGTTATCTACAGGCAAATTATAGTATGCTTTTGGTAACATAAACATAAACAATAAGGGCTGGTGCTACCGCTAGGTGAACTAGGCAGCCGCCTAGGACACACTGCGACCTACGGTGCAGCCGCAGCTGCTGGTTTTCCCTACTCTCCACCATGGCCAGATCTAGGGGAGGTGGGGTGAGCTATGCCCCCTCAGGTTTCAGTTTTGCCCCCCCCAGTAAGGTGGGGGGATTTTATGCTGGGGAAGGGTAACTTGGAGGGGTTTTAGCTAGAGGAGGGATTTGGGGGAATTTGTCCTCGGTGGGGGAATTAAAGGAAGAGGATTGGTGCTGGGATGGAGGATCGGGGGGAATTGTACTAGGAGAGGGAATTTGTGTTAGGAGAGGGGATTGGGGGGGGGGGGGGTTATGATAGAAGGGGGGATTTGGGGGAGAGGATTTTGTGCTAGGGTGGAAAATTCAAGGGGAAAGAGGATGTAAGCTACTAGGGGTGAAGTAGAACTACAAGTGAAGTTTTTTTTTTTTTTTTTTAGGAGGGGGGCTGCAAGTAATGGTCTTGCCTAGGGCAGAAAATAGTCTAGCACCATCCCTGAGGACATAGTATATATTGATATACTTTTCATACCTAAAAGTACAACAAATTGTGAGTTTTCATGTGTATTACCTTTTTTTCTGTATTTTTCGCCTCCACAAAAATATTCCAGTTGCAATTATTGTAATCAGAACCAGAATACAGACTACAATCACCACAGTGTATGGTGTCTCTGGTATATCTGTAAAATAAAGTAATGATTAATTAAAAGAAGGTGTTTTCTTAAAATATTTATATATGGATTCACATGTGTGGGCAGGGTTCAGCATCAGAGAGTACACCAGCATTACACAAGTGTTAGCTTTGAAGTATTTTGTCCATAGCTTTAAATACAGATAAGTTACTAATATAGGTTTGAAATTGATCAAAGGTGAATGTTAAAGATTTCAATATCCATAAAATCCCATAATCCCATGATACTGAAATATATTATGTGACCAATGCTATCAACAAGTCACCCAAACATAACATTGATAAAATAGTTACAATAGTTGGCACCATCAAGAATCCACCTCTGCTATTACTAAAATCCACCCAAAACTAATGACTACACAAACACACAACACAACCCTTGTCAACCTTTTACTCCTTAGTTATTTAGAACCTTGTTCTAAGGGTGGGAGGGGAGGAAGCGACAGATGTCCCTGTCTGAGCTGTACTCTAACAGCCCTACAAAGTTTCCGCTCCATCTTCCAACCTCATTGTTAATTGCTATGCAGTTAAGGACAAGCTTAATTTAAAAAATATTTTACATGAGAAGTGGATGATAATTCATACCTTCATAGACAAGCTGGAAGTCCCTCTGCAGAGGTTCTTGTAGAGAGTCATGTTGGACTCTACAGGAGAAGATCTCATTCTGGTCATCATTGGTTGGTGTGATTGTCACATTGCTGTCCACGTAGTATGTTTCATCTTTATTTATTTGTGGTTTTCCCGTGAACTGATTTCTCAGGACCTCTTGATTTCTGTACCACGTTATCCTGATATCTGGAGGGGAAGAATCCAGAGGCCTTACAGGTCAAGGTGTTTCTCTGTATTTCTCTGGACCTTCGCGCTAAGTATGGTGAGTAGAGGTATGGCTGCAGGGAACACAGATACACTTTATGAAGTGGGATATATATACTCCTCAGAAAAGCTCATTTATTGTGGGACAGATATGTGAAAGTGTTGGGGTCTTGTATATACTGTAATGTCTACATTTTTGTTCTTTTTAGTTTAGTAGTATAGGTTCAAACCTCTTTTTTTATCACTGCCTTTGTGTCGCTAAGCAGATTCATCCTCTCTATGTGACCTGGTGACAGTTGTTATGGGGTCAGAATATGATAGGAAATGCATGATACTAGAGTGGACAACAGAACAGGAATAGAAGAAAAATCTAACATGGACACCTGTTCCTGTGACAACTGTCTAAGGGGAAATTTTTTCTCACTTTGAAGAAATGTCAATTTGCTAAAATCTCACATAAGCTTTAACATGTAATTTTAAAAGTAATTTTTCATATTTTTAAATTTGTACCATACATTAAAATAATATCTGGTGATCCTGACATGAAGGTACTTGTTCAAGCATTTCTCATTATGGTGCAACAGCATTCTATCACTCCCAGTTGTTCTTTTGCGTGGTCACCCTGCCACATAGGCTTTCCAGTGGAGATTGCAAGTGATTGCTTTAACCCACGTTATGTAGGCATGGTCCACTGTCGTCACCATATGGAAACTTACCCTGAGAAAAAATATAATAAATGTATTCTTTTCATAAATCTTTCATTAAAATAGTACCTGGTTATCTGGTCATGAAGGTCCTCGTTCAGCCACTTACTGCTACGTCTTTTTGCATGTCATCTTGTCATATGCCCATTGGTTTGCTCTACAAGCGGCCACACTCAGGGCTGCTGTTAGAAACTATTGGGCCCCATACAGACAACCAGCCCCCCCATTAAAAAAAAAAACAGTTTACTATGCTTCTGTTATAAATGGACACAGTGAGTGATTGGTACAGATCACTCATTGTGTTCATTCAGTAAAGGAAGGGGCTGGTAAATGTGACATATTTACCAGACCCTTCGCTCACTCTCCATTCTAAATGATCCTATTGTATGCTTGCAGCTGTCGTGGGGGAAAGGGAAGAAGGAAGGAAGCCGGCAGAACTGCAGGGGTGAGGGCACACAGGGGGGCCTGGGCAGAAGGGAGGGTGTACAGGGAGGGTGATGAGTGTGGTGGGGGGGGGGGCAATTACATGAACTGATCCATTGTATAGCTCTCTTTGCAGCACCTGAAAGCCAGCTGGAGGGAGAGGAGAAGAAGCCAGCTTTCAGCTGCTGCAGAGAGCCATACGGGAGATCAGTTCCAGTAATTGCCCCTCTGCCACACCCAGCACCCTCTCTGCGCACCATACATTTTCCCCTTCTGCCCAGGCCCCCATGTTTACCCAGTGGTGTATTTAGGGTTTGTGCTGCCCTAGGCAACACAAAAATTGGCTCCCCTCCCCACGTAGAGACCCTGACACCGGCCAACACCCCCTCTCCCCCACGAAGAGAGCCTGAAGTTAACCAACAACACCCCAGCACCCCCAACTGAGAGAGCCTTCCACTACCACCTCCCCCCATACACTGGCAACCCCCTCCCCCCACCCCGGCAAGAGACACTCACCTTCACAGCTCCAGACATGCCCGGGAACAAGAGTCATGCTCTGCATACACCATCAAGCAGCCCACAGGCTCTCTCAGATTCCACCTGGTCTCCGTGCTGCGTGTGTCCCTTCTTCCTTTCCTTCTTTCAGGGGATGCTGCTGCCCCCCTGAAAAATGCTGCCCTAGGCAAATGCCTTGTTTGCCTTGTTGTTAATACACCCCTGTATGTACCCCCACTCTCGCAGTGTTTCCAGCTTCCCTTCTCTTCCATTGCTGTGTCCATCACACTCCCTGCCCACATGAGATTCACCCAGCTGCTTGGCCCTCCTGCTAGCCTGGGCCCCGTACAGGAGGACTGGTGATACCCCCTTATCCACAGCCCTAGTCACACTCACTGACATTGTGCAGGCATGATCCAATATGGTCACTATCAGGTCCAGGATTACGATATGCCGTGCTTTGACAAATTACATTTTCTCCAGTGACAGATTAGATCTACTTGAATCTTTCTTTTTTTTTGTTTTGCAATTACACAGCATTTTTCAGTTTTTTCCCCAAAAGTTAAACGTGAAAGCCATGTTTAACCCAACATTGACCATTGTTATCCAGTAGGTGCCCTTACCGAACACTGCAAATGAAATCTCCTTCTCCTTGCTTTCAGGGCTGTAGATAACTTTACACTTATAGATGCCCCCATCAGAGATGGTCACGTTGGATATGTGTAGTGAGGCATATCCGTCCCTCAGAGATTCCACATTAAGGGACATCCTGGGATCTTGGGTGGAGAAGCCTTTGTTGTCATATCTCAGGATTACTGTTCCCTGAAAACTCCACAATACGGCCAGGAAGTTAAGATCCGGCGGCTGTTTATCCACCGAGAAGGTGCAGTTGAGGATGGTGTCATTGGTGACAAAAGCTCTTTCTGGGGAAGGAGCGATGACATCCAAAGCTGCATCTGTAGAGATACATCAACAGGTAAGATTATGAAAAATGAATGCTCAAGAAATGCATTAGAGGGTCCTAAAAAAATATGGTTAAATTAAATCTGAGTCTAAACGTTGTAAACCCGGCCAGAGTCCTTGTACCTACACAATATGGTTTCATTACTGCGACACAAGTGAGGGCCTAATAGACACCTGCAACAGCACAATCAACCAATGAAAACTCTTACATACAGTATATGCTTTTCAG